CAAGCCCAGTCTCCCCTCTCCCCCTCAGCAGCCACAGGCTAATATCCATCCCCACAGGTCCCTGGACCTCCTCTCTCTCTCAGCATTTAGGCTGTGCTTACCCCAGGATGCTACAGCCCCCGCTCCTAGTTCTCCCCACGGTCTAAAGCAGAGCTGGGCAAGATGTGGCCCAGGGGCCGGATCCGGCCCGCCTAACACCTGTATCCAGCCCGCAGGCTGCATCTGGCTGCTTTCGATTTCTACCCTGCTTCCCGTGACACCAAACTTCAGGTGGTGGCTCAGGCAACAGGATCCTATTTAAATGGCTCCCGGTCGCCTTTTAAATAGGTGCGGCAACTCAGCATTTGCCAGGCAACGTGGGAGTGGCGCAAGCCCTTTGCTGTGTTTTTACTACACAATGTCTGGCCACAAACAACTCTGGGGGAGGCTGGTCCCTAGCCCCGCCCCTTCTGCCCCAGGCCCCACCCCTTCCGGAGAGGGGGTGGAGTCAGCTCGTGACTGGTACCAAAATTCATTCAGTGGCCCACTCTGTGAAAATTATTGCCCACCCCTGGTTTATGGTCTCTTGCCCCCCACTTCCAGCCTTTCAGCTTTGATGTCCCTGGCCCATCTCCCCCCGGCCGGTGGCTCTGCCCATGCTAAGGGCAGCGGCTCAGGCGCACTGGAGGGGCGACTGTAGAGACAGGGGCCTAACCCACTTCATGGCCTGTAACAGCCCTGGCCCCCTCCAGAGCACCCAACTAACCGCCCCCCAGGGCTCGTCCTCCCCCCCCAGCTCCTCACAGGCATAGTAGCCCACGTCCGAGTTGACGGTCAGCTTCCCAATGTCGAAGGTCTCGATGACGTTGGTGTCCCACTTTTTCCGGTACTCGATGTCGTGCAGCACATCGTAGAGGGTCTCTGCCGAGATATCCTTGCACTCCATCCTGCACTGCAGAGACAGAGCGGGTGACAACCTGACACACACACACACACACACACACACACACACACACACACACACCCACCCGCTCCGCTTGAATCCTACAGGACTGACCCAGCCCAGCCCATAGCCCGCACTTATTCCCGTGCCTCAGTTTCCCCATCTGTACAAAGGGGGTGCCCCACAAGGGTGTGGGAGGATACATCCATTGAAGATTGTGAGCGGCTCAAACATGGGATGGAGGTCATACATGCACAGCACGATGAGGTCACTCAGACCAGCCTCCGACCCAGCTGTCCTGTGTTCATTCACCCTGCCCTCTTCCCAGAGGCTTCACAAATGTAAGCCCCTTCCCCCACCTTTTATAGCGCCATAAAATTCAGACAATTAAGCCAATAGCGGCACCATTATTTCTCCTGCAGGCACCAATGAGGGCCTCATGGTGTCAGGGGCTGTACAAATGGATTCACACAACCCCCTAAAATACACAGCTCCCCCAGCGCAGACTTTTCTCCCACGGCCTCTAGCTCCCTTTGTGTATCATGAAGTCTGTATCATGCTGCCTCACTCGGGCCCTCTTCAACTGCCATCAGATACAGCAAGTCTCTGGCAAAGGAACCAGGGGGAAGGGAGGGGCTGTATCATTCTGAGTTTCGCCACAAACAAGGAGGGTCTGGTAGGAGAGGTTAAAGGGGTCTGAAGAGTGACAGCGCCTCCCAAAAGGATGTTCCCCTGCCAGGCCAGTGATGCAGCAGCTACCATCAGAGGGTATGAAATGGAGGAGCAACGTTGTGGAAAGTTTGCCCCAGAGGGAGACGACGCCCCAAGATAATATGCAGCTGGAGTCTCTGAATGAAGAGCGACCCCATCGGGCAGAGCGCCGGGTAGGTGCCATTTCTCAGAATATTAGCTTACACCCGCATCTCAGTGCGCTTCATTGGCTGTGCACATGCAGGCGTCTCCTCATTCACCACTGCAGTGCAGTCAGCTCTGGGGAGGAACGCGGCAACTGTTGAGCCGAAGCTACGAACCCGTTTAGGACAGGAAGTAGGGATGTAAGTGGCTAGTCAGTTATCCGATAAGCAAAAGCAAGTCAACTAGTCCCTCAGCGAGGCGGGAGGAGCGGGGGGGGGGGGGAAGGGGGGAGCGGGTGCGGGGGGGAGCCGGCTTAAAAGCTGGTTCCCCCCAGCACCGTCTCTGTGGGGAGCAGGGGAGGCAGAGGGTTAGTGGGACCAGGGACGAGCCAGGAATCAGCTGATTCCTGACTCACGCCCAGTCCCAGATGCTGTGCCTCTGCTTTTTAAATGTATTCAGAGCCTGCCAGCTGAGCGACGTCTCCTGCCCTGGGAATACTGGCTGTATGGAACATCTTTGCCACAGGGCTTGGCCCAGAGCGGCATCTCCACAGGCAGCACAGAGCCGCGACAGAGACCCATTGGCCTCATCTAACCCAGCCCTCACTCAGAGCACGGTGGCAGGAACGCCCTGCCCCGGTTGAGAGCAGGGCTCCAGTAAAGCCGCGTCCCGGCGGGCTGATCAGCCACAAGGGCCGAATCGGCTCAGGTTCTGAATGCACGCAGCTCGGCTGCCCGAGCTAGGAGAGCTCAGCCTGCCAACGCTGTAGCCGATTTGCAGGGCTCCAGCTGACGATATCCGCGGGTGAGGATGCAACATCCACGGCTCATTTTTGCAGCTGCGGATGCCAATTTTGTGTCCGCACAGGGCTCTGTCCTCAGCCTTGGAGGACCAGCCACCACCCCAGGGAGACAGCCCCATCCGGAGGGAGTTACTCCCCGCACGGACACGGCAATGCTGCAAGTTCAGAGCAACCATCCGTGTCAACACAGCCTACTTGTGGTGCCAGATGGACAGAGGAGGTTAGGGTTGTAAAATCCCATTTAATCAGTTAACTAGTTAAACATTACAATTAACCGGTTAATTAACCACTTAACCGGGATCCTGTAGGCTTGGGCCCGCTCCAGCCCAACCATAAGAATGGCCATGCCAGGTCAGGCCAAAGGTCCATCTAGCCCAGTATCCCGTCTGCTGACAGTGGCCAATGCCAGATGCCCCAGAGGGAATGAACAGAACAGGGACTCATCAAGCGATCCCTCCTCTGCCACCCATTTCCAGACAAACAGAGGCTCGGGGCACCACCCCTACCCATGCTGGCTGATCAGTATTGATGCACCTACCCTCCATGAATTTATTTAATTCTTTTTTGAACCCTGTGAAAGGCTGGAGCAGCCCCCTCATTGCAGCTGGCTGATCTAGCCAGGCTGGACCTGCCACGGGCTAGAGCATCCTCAGCCTGTAGTACAGTGCGGTGCGCCCGGCCAGGTCACCGGTTAACTGGTGACATCTCGAGAAGATGCTGCAGGCAGCCAGGGCAGAGCCTGCTCTGGGACGGAAGCCCAGGGAGAACGGACAGAACCACGCAGGTGTGAATCAGGAGCACCGAGCAACGGCACCCCCTGCATCCAGCAGGAAGGGGGATTGGGTCCATGGGTAGGAACGGGGCATCGCTACGGAGAAGGGGTGAACTAAGCCTGAGCTTTGCCCCCAGGAAGATGCAGCGTGGCAGGTGGAGAGGTGAGCCCTGCAGTAACAGCGCAACACTCTGTGCTCTGCAGCCAGGAAAAAGCATTGCTTAGGACCCATGGGGCAGACCATTGCAGAGGGCGAGGGGGACTGGATAATTACCCACACTATGATGCAATCTTGCCCAGTGGTTGCAGCACTATAGTGGGACACAGGACACCTGGGTTCATTCCCACTGGCCTACTCGGTGACACTCTTCCACCCCTGTGCCTCAGTTTCCCCAACTTCAAAAAAGGAGGATGGTTCTGATGCTTTGGAAAGCCCCTGGACTCTCCCTGGCAATGGGAGGGCTAGAGAAACAGGTTAGACCTGACAGCTGGAAATAAAAGAGATGCTCCTAATGAAACATGTGCTCCTAGGACAGCCAGTGAACACAGCTAATAACCGGGAGCGCAGCGCCCTGCTGGTGCCCATGGAGATGACTGAGAGTTGCCAGATCAGACCCTGGTTTACCACTACGGCTATTACTTACAGTCGGGGTTGGACAGAGCGTGGGAGTTTGGGAAGCCAAGACAAGGGCATTCGCTCAGGTCAATACAATGAGTAATGGCCACATGGTCTTCCCGCGGATGCCAGCCAACACGGTTATCACAGCTCTTCTTTCCCTGATTTCTTGCTGCCCAAGAATAGCAGGCATCTTGAAACGATTCCAGGCACGAGGGGGTTGACCCCTGCCTGGCAAAGGAGAGCTCAGACACAGCCACCATCAACAGGATAACAAACCTCCCAACACACAGTTAGGCTGAAGAGGCAGAGCTTCTTGCAGCCAGGTGGTCTTACCACCCAGCGGAAGGTGAGAAACCCACCCACTTTGTGGCAGGAAAGCTGCCAGAAGACAAGATTAGAACAGCAGGACTGGATGGAAGAGAGGCAATTTCACCCTGGTGTCTAGGCAGAGGAAAGATAACAGCAAACATACCTAATTAGGGGCAGGTTATCTGGAAAGTAAAGAAAGGAGCAACGGGAGATGGGCTAAATACCAGCTCACAGCATGGTGCAGCTATGAAAGAGCCGTGGTATTCACACAGGCATAGCACTGTAACAAATCTGCAGTCTGCTAGAGCTGCACGCGCCGCATGATGCTGCGCACCCTGCTCAGAGCTTCCCAACAACACAGGGAATGGAAATCAGGACAGCTTCAGGGCCCTCACACTTGGAGCTAATGGGGAATCTCTTTCTGCTGTTCGCTGTACAGATCCTATGACACACAGATGGGCAGTTCTGAATCTTCCCCGAAGAGAGCAGCGGTGCCAACACGAACAAGTTCCCTGAAAAAAAATTAAAAATAATATACAGATCCTCGACTGAAAGCGGAAGGGGGCATTGTGATACCTGGGGCAGCCCTCACTGGAAATGCCGAAGTCAGAGCAGGCTGCAGAAAGGAGAGCAGATATACTCCCAAGACTGGTAGGTTACTGAAGTTAAATTCTCTGTGATGTGGTGCCATTGCCCTGCACTCCGAATGCCCCCGTTGCCGTGCTCTGCAGGGAGCGCGGAGCCCGTCTTGTTGCTGTGGGTCAGATGGGCGGCACCGCAAACCGGAGCGGGACGCCTCGGGTGAGTTACGAGCGCGCCAGGAATGACACGAGAGGGGAGTGGCGGCTGGAGCACATAGCGGTGATGTCACGGGGAGGGGTGGGGCAGGAGAGACAAGACGGGAGGTACGAAAGGGAAACGGACACAGGAGAAAAGGGGAGACGAAAGAGGAGAGAGGACGGTCGCCGCAAGCGAGTGGGAGGGAGAGTGGCAGGGCTCGGCCGGCTTCGGTGAGCCGTCTGCTCTGGTCCAGGAGCCGGCCGGGAGGGGTGCAGACCTCCCCTGGCTGTAGCCAGGGTAGGAAGTAGCCCAGGGTGAGGCTTCCCTGCTAAGGCCCACGGGCTGACGAGTTACGGCAGGAATCCCTATCAGCCAGACAGGAACTTGCCTGAGCCTGTCCTTAGAGCCCTGGGCTAGGACCCGTGAGAGAGGGCAGGTCTGGGTCCCCCTATCCCGTCCGCCCAGGGCGGGTGCCAGCGAACGACCTATTGGAAGCCGAGACCCTAACAGACTTCCGAAGAGGCAGGGTGGCCTGTGAAAAACTCTTGAGCAGAGGGCCAATTAGAAACGTGAGTGGGACCCCACGAGAGAGGGAACTAGCCTGCTTGTTACCACTCTCCTGTCAGTTACACGAAGCAATCACACAGCCCCCTTACTGCATGCCAGTTCTCTGGCTTCCAATCTGCTCTGTACTGGGCCTAGGTGAAAAGTTGTTTTAAAACCTCCATCCACATAAACACACATAAGAACGGCCACACTGAGTCAGACCAAAGGTCCATCCAGCCCAGTATCCTGTCTGCCAACAGTGGCCAATGCCAGGTGTCCCAGAAGGGAATGAGCAGAACAGGGCATCATCAAGTGATCCCTCCCCT